TCATACGTGTCCCATATTTCCACATGTGTGACCTAAATTGTGATCCTAAAAATACATACAAATAACCCAATTAAACAAATGAATGTAATAATTATACTTAGCCATTGCTTGAGGAAAATTATTGAAAGCTAAAAGTATTACTGTATTTTGGGGCAATTGTCTTGTTGCATGATGCACTTTCTCTTGAGCTCCAGTTCATAGACGGGTATCCTGACATGTTTCTGTAGAATTTGCTGATATAAATTAGAATGCATAGTTCCACCAGTAATGGCAAGTTGTCTTGGTCCAGAGGGAGCAAGGCAAACTCAATTCACAGTGTTGGGATATCACAAGTAGGACAAAGTTCTTAGGCTGGAACACAACATTTATCCTTTGCCAAAAATGCTTTTTATTTATATTTTGGTCTTATCTATCTAGAGCAGGGGTCTCAAACTCAAGACCCTTGCAACTCTGCTGTATCACCATTGTTCAGTGTTCTCCTAACGATGGTTTCACGAACAACTGATATTTGCCAGTGCAAGAGAGGCCTTTAGTTCTCAGGATTCTTTTGAGTTCCTGAATTCTTTTGAGACCTCCCAGAGTATTACACAGCTTGCTTTTGGTGTGAACTTGATTAACTACTCCTAAGGAGGTTAATAGCAGCACTGAATTGCCTCCATCTGTAACCAATCTGCCTGACAATGGAATGGTAGAATCCAAGATCTTTGGAAATTGTTTCCGTAACCTTTCCAAAATGGTGAGCATCTCTTTAGTGATGAGATCTCTTCAGGGATCTTCAGAAATCTTCATTTGAGCCATGACATATTCCCACGTAGCTGTGTGGTGAAGATTAAACTTTGCTAGCAAAGACCCACAATTCTCTTCTTTAAATGAGGACTTCCCACAGTCACACCCAATTATCCCTTTAATTGAAACACCTGGTTCTAATTTCTACTTCAAATTAATTGATAATTGCACAAACTATATGTAGCTTTGAATTATTTTCCTCAAATGGAAGTAGTACTTGGTTCATTTAACTGGGTTGTTCTACAAATTTTTTTTTCAATTTAACTGGGATCAGATTTTGAGTAAGGCAGTTAATTACATCAATTTTGTTACTTTTGCCACAATTGTTAAGCAAATCCAGCTTCCCCCTCCCACCCTTTTGTCAAAAGCCAGATGCTTCTCCAGTTAAGTTTTATCCATTTATGTAGAAAAATTATATGGCTGTCCAATGCACTTTATGGTCAGGAGTATTTTTAATGAGATATATTTCAAGCAAAGAAGTCTGGTTCCTAATTTTTAGGTGGCTGAATGTACAATGCCACACAGAAACAGTTGGGTTGAAGACTCACTGGTTCAAATCCACTTTGTTGGACAATATTTCAATCACAACCAGTTGGGTGGATCTTCAAAACTGAGCTTTAAAGCAAATCGAGCAGGGATGTGTCTCCTGTTTTTCAAAGATACACAATCTCTAAACAGGGAGGTCCCATTTAACTCCAGATAAAGCCTCTTACCCTAACTACCTCCCCAAATTTATCCTCCTCTGTTAAAAAGAAAAAAAGACCAGCCATGGCAGATTCAAGCAAAAACACCCATCATTTTACTTTACAAAAGCTGTCCTCACTTAGATACCATAACAAATCTTATTTTGGCTCCAGTCTACATTTGGGGGAAACAGACTTGACCCTGTGAACGTTTCAGCTGAGCTCCAATCTCCACGACCTCCTCCTCCTCCTCCTCCTCCTCCTCCNGCACCCCTAACCCTTTAGAAAAAAAAACCCATGGGGTGTTCAAACTTGGCAGCTTTAAGACTTGTGGACTTCAACTCCCAGAATTCCTCCTTTTGCTCTTCATCTTGATGATGTGAGGACGGGTGGGGGGAGGGAGCTGGAACCAGTTCTAAACGGCACTGCAGATTTGTGGAATCTCTTCTATGGAAGAGGTTAGAACTGGCAGGAACTCAACCCTGTTATGGGGTACCGAGTGTAGATTGAGGGGAAAAACAGAAATACAACTGTAGAATCAGGGAGCAGCATAACAAAATTGACAAAAGTGACGGGGATCTGAATGCACTGTATATATTGTGTGGAGATATTATGATATAAGTTGAGCAGGTGGAGTATACATTGCTAGATTGCCAATTATATACATCTCAGCATAGGCCTGATTTGATTAGAACGTTCTGTTGAGACTTCACAACAGCTTGTCATATTTCCTTTTGGGCACTAATACATATGCGACCAGCAGAAATGTTAAATTTATAGTCAACGCTGTTTAGCTGAAAACATGAAGAGTTTACATAGCATGGTCTCGTGCAACATATTATACAGCATATGAATATACTTTGTTTTGTACTTTGGTATATTTATATTTAATTTATCTTTTGTTTGGTTGATGCAGTGTGGTGGTTTGATAGGGTCAATTGAGTGATCAATAAATTAGCTAACACATAAATTCACAGATGATGTTAGAAAACATTTGAGTATCAGGTAACAATTGAGAGTTAGAATCTCAAAAATCTTCAAAACTTGTTGCATATACTTAAAAAAAATTGTTGTGTAAGGAAATAAAAAAAACAATTACAAGCATTTGTAAAGTCTATAATGCTGCATGACTTGGCATAAGTATTTAAAACCTGTATATATTTATACAAAGAGAGTCAAGACACCACACTAGAAATTGGGAGATCATGATTCTAGTCTCAATTCAGGCACAAGGTAGCCTCTCTCACCCCTAGGACAGAGTCAGGGACAAACCATTTCCGAAATCTTGACAAGACATGCTTTTATGTTATTCTTATTTAGAACTTCTTGCTTTTTTATCTTTCTTTTTCAGGTTTTAAAAGTAGTTGCCTGCCGTGAATGTTGTAAGTGCAAAGTCAGGACGTGAATTGCTATTATAAATAACACCTGACATTCTTCTCCACCTAGGGAGGAGGATATGTTGGATATGGCACCACTGCTTCAGGAGAACTCTCGGCTGGGCTGCCAAATTGTCCTTAGCAAAGAACTGGAAGGAGCACAGTTCACCCTCCCCAAAATCACAAGGAACTTTTACGTGGACGGGCATGTCCCTAAACCTCACTGAGAGCTACAGACTCCATGGCTGGATCTGTCTCCATGGTTAAGGCGATAAAAGGCTGCAGAGAGCACGGTGGGATTGTGGCAAAGCTGGAAACATTTAAAGAGGAGAAAAAGGAAGAAATGGCTCAAAGAGCAAGAAGATGGGGCTATGGAAGGAATTAAGCAGGATGAGTGAGACGCAAAACGTCTAGCAACTATCTCATCTGCTTATACTTTCTTCAGAAATCCAAAGTTGGATTAAGCTTAGCCTCATCCATGGCACAGAAGGATGCTGGGTAATTCCATACCTAACAGTTCTTTCCTCACATCCTGGAGAAAACCAAAACGCTTCGTAGAGAGGCAAGACGTTTCGATGCAGTAGCCACTGTGTTTTAGCAGAGGAATACAAAGTTTTATGTATTGTTAATTGCATGAAGAAAGGAAAAAAAATGTAATTCCCATAAGTGCATTCTCTATACACTTTACAGCGTGTTCACTTTCTATTGTTTTTCCAGCCCTGTTTGGAAAATCTATACTGGCAGTTCTTGTCTGCATTTAACCATCAAACTGCATATTGGATATTTGGTTATCTGTATAACAAACAAACGAAAAAGAAAGGCTTCTTCCAGTAATGATGAGGCTACTGCTAATGTTTTCGAATTCATTCTCCGTACACATGAAGAGATATATTTGGAATGATGTGTGTTTGTGGGGCAGGGGCTGGCCAACACTTTAAATTCAGCTTTCCAAAGGAGCTTTGAAGAATTCAGGAGCACAACCGTAGCCATGTGTCTGCAATATCTTTAAACAGTTACATCTTTCCTTCTTGTAATTTACACAGCTGCTTAGAAGTGTTATAGACAGAGGCCCTGAAGCAGATTTTTGGACACTCTTCCAATACCAAAGTTCAAAATAGTCGATATTCTTTCTACCCTACTTCTTCAAAGTACAGCTTTCACTTCTCATAGGCCAGTGTTTCTCAACCTTGTCAACTTGAAGACGTCTGGACTTCAACTCCCAGAATTCCCCAGCCAGCATTTGCTGGCTGGGGAATTCTGGGAGTTGAAGTCCAGACATCTTCAAGTTGACAAGGTTGAGAAACACTGCTTTAGATTAAATGCAGGACCACGTGGGNAAGAAGCTGCAGGACATTTTGGGAATGCCAAAGTATTGTTCTGGGGTGTTAAACTCAAGGCCCATGACCTGTTTTATGGCCTCCATGGCCTCCTGCAGCACTCTGGCGGCCAAAAACGGGCTGCGTGGAGGCCTCACGGGACTTCCATCCAGTCCATTTTTGGCCAGAGTGCTTCTGGAGGTCAGGGAGGGTTAAAAACAGGCCTCGTGTGGCTTCCGTGCAGCCCATTTTCGGCTGGCAGAGTGCTGGGGGAAGACTGGATTGGACTGGATTACAATTATTTGGCTTCAAAGTAAGTGCATGATCTGGAGAGAAAACAAGCAACATCCTACATTAATACTACAGTTTAATGCCAGATTTTACATACTGTAGGTCCCTTTCATCTACAATCAACAATCTATAATTGACAAGACATTTTTATTTACTATCCTGGAAATTTACCTCTGCGTTAGCTCTTGTATTACCATGTTATTTATGCTATTGTATTTTTATTATAAGTTGAATAATAAAAATACAATAGTATAAATAGCTTTTCTGCCTGGAAAAGCAATTTGTTATTAAACAATGGGGTTAAATTTAGAAATAAAAAGTTTAGTGGAGTATGAAAAATAAGTAATAAATGTTTGCCCATAGTATCTGGTAGAAGAGATAGGAAAATGATTATAGTAAAAAACTATGGAAAGAAAGAAAGGAAAAAATGCATCTTGAGCCTGTGTCAAACGCCCACCACAGCCACACCCACCACCGCGCCACCAGGCCCTCCGAGGTCAAACAAAACCTGATGCGGCCCTGAATGAAATCGAGTTTGACACCCTTGGTATAGTTCATAAACAAGGGTTTCCAACTCTGCTGTCTCTCAGTTCGCTAAAAAATCATTAATTTGTTGGCTTTACTGCTCCAACTGAGCCTTGGTACCTGTTGATCATAATGCCATTTTCTTAGATGTTAGCCACCTTGAAAAAGGCCAGGCAAGGCTCAGCTAGACGAAATGTAAATTCAGGAGATTATCTCCACCCCCTAATTTCTGCTTCTATTACAGGATGGAAATCGTGGGAAATGGAGGCGATTGTGCATTTTTGGCCAGAGATCTCATAGCCATGTCAGTGAGATGCATCACTAAGCACTACTACATATGCAAAAAAAATACCCCTAAGACTGGGTCTCAACCTTCCTAATGCCGTGACTCTTTAATGAGGATCACCCTTTAAGGGTGATTGAGCGGCTAGTCTGTAGCCGCCATTACGGCCCTTCTGAACTTTTCCCCCAGTCAGTGCCTTTTAATCTACAACAGCCGTCTTTCCATCTTATTGGGCGTGCAAGGCCCCCCCGGTTTGCCCTCCTTTGTGGCTGGGGGGTGGCTTCCTTGTTTACCATCCTTACCATCTACCCTAGCTGGCTCCTCCAATTACGTTTCATCTTTATGGACTTAGCCTGCTGGACTTTTAGTTCTGCATCTCTCCCCCCCGGACTGCGTCTATTACCGTGGCTATCATCGTCCACTACTACCTCAGGAACTTTATCCTAGCCATCTCGACTATTACTTCTCCTATACCAGACCTTTAGAGAAAGAGGTCACTTTAGCTCCCTCATAACGTGCCGGCTTTGACCGGTCTATTGTGCTGTCGCTCTGTGGACTTTATGTCTCTATGTACAGATTTGTTCGCTTATTTTATCATCTTTTATACCTGTGCAATTTTCT